AATGCTAATAATGAGACATTCACAATATTATCTCTTTTATTCTAATTAGGAAACACAATACAAAAATGAGTTATTTTATATGGTTTAAAAAAGCCTAATAAGAAAGCAAATATTCCCCTCATGTGATTCGTTAGCTCCTTTAGCAATCAGACTTAAAATTTTAATATTATTGTTCTAGACCCATAATCAAAATCCAATTCATAAATTTTATGTCGTTTTAAATTCATAATCAAAACCCAATAATTAACAATAGTAATTAGTCATATACACGTTGGAGAGCCGAAGACCCCCATAATTTTGAGGCCCAGTGTCGGAAGGCCTGATGACACACCCTTAGGCCAAGCCCTGGTATTGATTAGTTCATTTTCCCTCCTCAGTATTAATCCTTTTTTTATCATTCATGTTTGTTACTCGTATGAACACAACTTACAGTGAAAATCAGGGTAAATACTAATTGTTTACCAAGTTTGCACTTAGATCTCTTGGAAGCCAGATTTAATATTGATATCTGAAATTCTGAATTCATCAAACCAAGTCGTCGTTAGCATTTTTTTTTTTAATTTCTTCTGTTAATTTTTATTGTTATGTTGCTTCCATAGTAAGCTTTAATAAGGCAGAGAAGCTGATCACATTAACACAATAACCTAAAAATCAGTGAAAAATGAGAACACTAACATAGTGACATACTGACATTGCTAGTTGCTACTATGATTTATTTATAGCATGACAAATTAATATGCATCTGTTTTCAGAAATACTAAAGTTTAGTGTCCGATTTGTACCTATAAACAAGTTTGGTGACCAAATTGAGATATCCGCTCCCAATACATCATCAGGATTCAGGAACCGTGCCGTACCGGAGCTAGAACCTTCCGCTGTACCAGCTCCGAGCTCTCTCCTCTAATTCCGTTTCTTTAGTCGTCGAGAAGAGAAGAGAGAAATATTTGTGCCTTCAAACTGGGATTCGGGCTCATCAATACTAGCCACTCGCCGTCCGGATTAGGGTTTTGGTTCATTCGCCGGGAATTCTGATTCATTCGCTTTTGAAAGGTATCGCCTCGTCTCCCTGTTATCGTCATTTCTGAATTATCATTCCCTTTGCCGCTACCGTGAGGCCATTGCTCTATCCAGTGATGAGCTTGGTGCTTTCGTCGCCGTCGTTTCTTCGAGATTGCTGTTCTATTTAGCGGATTAGCTGTCGGCACTATTGAGGTGATATCTTGCAAGTTACTTTTGCGGAACTTGTGAGATAGTCTGTTCCTCTTCTGGATCAATCTAAGCTCCGGTTAGTTGCTTTGAGATTAGGCGAAGAAATTCAGTCGCTCCCTTCCTTAGCTTTGAGTCACGTTTTGTTGATTGTTGAATTGTGTATTGTGATTATTGAAGTGAATAGAGGTTAGGTTATCGGTTAGTTTCCTGATTGGAATCGGTCTGTGTTTTCCTTGTACAAAATGGAGGATCATTGAGTTCTCTACTCATTTGCTGCTGCGTGTTGCTATTTCATTGAACCAGTCATCTGAAAATGCAAGGAGGAAGGGGAGGCGGGGATCCCTTTTCTGGTTTCGGTGGTGATCCATTTGCTGGTTTTGGGGGATTTGGAGGATTTGGAGGGCGGAGGAGCATGTTGTCTGGCATTTTCGAGGGGAGGAACCCATTTGACGATCCTTTCTTTACTCGTCCATTTGGAGGAATGTTCGAGCCCAGTTTCTTTGGTCCCAATGCAAATCCTTTCGTGCCTATGCATCCACCTGCATATATCGAGCATCAAGCTCCAGTACCCAACAGGTCACAGGGGCCAATCATTGAGGAACTAGAGTCTGATGATGAGAAGCAGGATGCTGATAAGGAGAGGAAAGAGAATTCCAGAAAGCATGGTAGGTCTGGTAAAGGGCCATATGTTGAGGAAGTGGATGAAGAATATGAAGGTAAACTCGTGGTTATCTTTGTGTTGAAATAACTTCTGTGATTCTGTAGAGAGCTATCTATAACCATTCTTAGCTAAGAAATTTCTCTTCATGCAACAGGGAGGCACCGCAAGATGTTGATGGCTGGAAATAGGCATAACAATTTCAGTAGAGTGCAGTCTAAGCCTCCTCAAAGTCAGAGCTTTGTGTTTCAAAGTTCAAGTGTCTCATACGGTGGTGCTGGTGGAACTTATTACACTTCATCCAAGACAAGGAGAACGGGAAGTGACGGGGTGAGGACCTCTAGCTATGGAATGTTTTTACAAATTGCTGTTTTGGTTTTTCTGTCTTGTTTTAATTGTAGCTTTGGGTGGATTAACAGGTAACATATGAAGAAAGCAAAGAAGCTGATAGTTCTACAGGCAAAGCATCTCACAGGATTTCAAGGGGGCTTCACAACAAGGTGTCTGAGTAATTTGTGGCAGTTATTGGTTACTACATATATGGTGTATTTTAGGTTTGATTAATGCTGTATTTATCAATGGCACAGGGTCATACCATAGCACGGAAGCTTAACTCAGACGGGAATGTGGATTCACAGCAGATCCTGCATAATCTTGAGCAAGGTGAGCTTCCTAATTCTAGCTTCTTATTTTTTGTCCCAGCATGACGTGCACTGTAGTTTAACTTTCCCTATTTGTATTTCTAGACGAACTTCCTAATTTTGAACAAGCTTGGAATGGTAGTGCTGGACCTCATTTGCCTGGCTGGGGAAGAAACTTCAATGGTCGTGAGAATATGAGTAAGTATAATTGTGGCTTTTGTTTTTTTTTTTTTTACGTCTGTAAAAGAGTCATTTGTTTGAACTATTCCTGATCTGCCTGTCCTTGTTCTTGATGTCCGGGGCTGTGGATAGGCCGTCATTTGTCTAATTATCAGTAACGTGCTGCTTGAACTTGTTACTCCTGTTCTCAATCTTTTTGTTTCTCAAATGTGTAGCCAGTGTCTTTATATGGTAACTAATTTCCACTACCAACTCATATTGCTCAGGGGCTGTTGGCAGTTCCCAGAATAATCCACAGGTAGGTCATGGAGGGTGGGCACTTCCTTCGACAGAACGTCCGAATCCGATTGGCCGGTCGGTTGTAAGCCACCCGGCAGAGGGGAGTGGATCTTCACGGCGACAGGTCTCAGGAATGGCGAATCGTGCAGCTGCCAGAGACAAGCATCACCATTCTTCTGGACGGGGAGGAAGAGATTAGGCTGCTTGAAGAGACCATAGTCTCCGTTCTGCTGCTGCTTAAACTTGTATGCAATCTTAAGTAGATAGTCCACTTTAGTCTATATATACAAAATAGCTGTGTTCCACATATGGATGAGTGTTCGAGGTATGCTGAAACTAGCCAGGCAACTGCTAGAACTTGAATCGTGCCCCTACTTGTTGGCTACGGCTTATGATCTCTGTATCAAAGGCCTTAAAGGGAAATGGAGCTACTCTATGTGAATGGAGTCATTACAGAAGGGTTGTATTTCGATGTAGCATGTAAATAGCTGTATGTTTCAAAGAACAATGAGAAAAGAATGGAGTTATTAGTATCCAATCTTGCATTAAAGGTTTTAAAAGAAGTCCTATGAATCTTCTTAATTTGATTCAAGCTCGGGAAACTATCTAGTCGCCGAATTGTGGTCATCAGATAACCAAAATAGATCTGCCGTTTGTTCTGCAAATGATCCATCATATTCTTTTGTAACCAATTTCCATTGTTCCCACACGCATGCTGCGTATATGAAACACAGACGTCCAAGAAACACTCTAAACCAGAAGAAGATTTCCTGGAGATGGCTGAAAGTTCATTACTCATCATCTCCAGCAACAGTATTATGATAATGCAGAAAATAACAGAAAAAGTAGTTCAAAACATTGCACATGGCCCTGTGGGGGGTTTCTAAATAGATGCCAGTAACTACATTATCAGTATCTTGTAATGCCCACGAAGGGAATTTACCACATCCATTGCTGATATCATGGTTATTATCGTAACCAGCAGCCGTTTGTCATTTACTTGGAAGAATGTCTAACTAATGCATCCTGCAGATTGAGACATGCAACAGATCAGATAATGACTTTCACCCTTCCGCAAGCTTCCTTCAGCAAGGAGTTAAAAAGGCACATTTTTACTTTGACTAGCATTGTCACTATATATTGATCATCAGGGTTCAAGTTTCAACAGCAGCAAGCAACCTCATAGCAAACCAGCTTGGACAGTGCAGAAAAGAAAAGTAAATATGAAAGCCCTCTTCCTCTTCTCCCTCACTTTAGCTTCCACATTGTTTTTCTCCACCTTCCCCTTCTCCCATGAAGCATCAGAAGCTTCCCTGAAAACCGACTTGGAAACCTACATTGTTTTTTTAGAGAAACCAGAAGGCCTACTAGAATCCAATCTACATGAGTGGTACACCACATTCCTCTCAGAAACTACTTCAAGCTTAATTCCAAGCCACCAAAGGATCGTCCACTCCTACCGCAATGTGATCACAGGCTTTGCTGCTAAGCTCACCCCGCAAGAGGCCAAAGCAATGGAACAGAAGGGAGGCTTTATTTCGGCTAGAGTCGAGCGACCTGTATCCTTCCACACAACCTTCACTCCCAAGTTCCTTGGCCTGCAACAGAATGAAGGAGCTTGGAAGTCCACGCATTCCGGCAAGGGAGTGATCATTGGCCTGATTGACTCGGGTATAAAGCACGATCACCCTTCTTTCTTCGACAAAGGCATGCCTCCCCCGCCAGCCAAGTGGAGAGGCAGGTGTGACTTCAACGGCAAGCAAACATGTAATAACAAGCTCCTCGGTGCTAGAAGCTTCTTAGGGGCCGGGGATACCCCAGTGGAGAAGGATCTCCATGGGAGTCATACTGCGTCGGAAGCTGCAGGGAGCCCTGTAGAGGGTGCCAATGTGTTTGGACAAGCGAACGGGACAGCCATGGGGATCGCCCCGAAAGCCCACTTGGCAATGTACAAGGTCGATGAAACTGATAGTAGCGTATTAGCAGCTATTGATGCAGCTATTGAGGATGGCGTTGATGTGCTTTCAATCTCAATGGGTAACTTAGTTCATTATCCTTTCTTCGATGATGTGTTTGTATTGGGAGCATTTAGAGCCATCCAGAAGGGTATCTTTGTGAGCTGCTCTGCTGGAAATGGTGGACCCTTACCGAGTTCAGTAACCAACTCAGCGCCATGGATTCTAACCGTCGGAGCAAGTACGATCGATAGGGAGATCAGGGCGACGGTGACGTTGGGGAACAATGTGGAGCTCCATGGCCAATCCCTCTTCCAGCCTACGAACTTCCATCCAAAGCAGCTGCCCATTGTGGACCCTTCTACCTACAGTGCATCAGCAGCATTTTGTTGGGAAGGGTCACTGAAGAACATTGACGTGAAGGGCAAGATAGTCATATGCCAGGTGGTATCGACGGCTCTGATAACTGCCCAGGGGCAAGAAGTGAAGGACAACGGAGGAGCAGGCGTGATCTTGATCAACCGTGCGGAAGATGGCGACACTACTAGTCCTGAACCTCATGTACTCCCTGCATCGAACCTCGGTTACAAGGACGGATTGCGCGTCCTCGATTACTTGAACTCCACGTCATCCCCAACTGCAGCAATCTCATTCCAAGGTACCTTGATTGGCAAGTCGAAAATCGCTCCACAAGTCGCCTCCTTCTCCTCCAGAGGTCCCAACCTGCAATCTCCCGGGATCCTGAAGCCGGACATCATCGGCCCCGGGGTCAACATTCTGGCTGCTTGGGGGGAACCAGTCGACAATGCTACAACCCCATTCAATGTTGTCTCCGGAACTTCAATGTCTTGCCCACATCTGAGTGGAGTTGCAGCTCTGATCAAGAGTGCTCATCCCAATTGGTCCCCTGCAGCCATAAAGTCGGCCATTTTGACCACAGCTTACACCTACGATCTCGATTACAACCCGATCTCCACCGAGCAGAATGTTCCAGCCACGGTCTTCGACATGGGTTCGGGCCATGTGGACCCAACCAAGGCACTGAACCCGGGGCTGGTCTACGATATCGAGCCGGATGACTTCGTTCCTTACCTATGTGGGTTGGGTTATGACGACAAGCAAGTGAGAATGATCGTGCAGCGGAAGGTGAACTGCTCGAGTACTGGGTCTTCGATACCGGAGGCTCAGCTGAACTACCCGACATTCTCCATCTCGCTGGGTGCTGGCGAGCAGAAGAAGACGTACACTCGAACGGTTACTAATGTTGGCCGGCCTAACTCGAGGTACATGAGCGTGGCTGATTCGTGGAAAGGGATTCTCGACGTTGAAGTCGCTCCTAGGGAGATGTCATTCAAGGAGGTGGGAGAGAAAGCGAGTTACTCTGTTACGTTTACCAGGTTGGGGAATTTGACAGCAAGTGACAGTACTGCTGTTCGTCAAGGTTACTTGGTTTGGTCTGGTCATGCTGATGATGGTACTAAGTACGTGGTGACGAGCACATATGTGGTTGTCTTTGTTTGAAGAGGAGTTTATATACGAATGACGAGCCACTTTACTTGAAGCACACTACAATAAGAGTAAGAGAGCACAGTTTCATATTTATCCATCTGTTCTGCAAGCAATCTGCATAACATTGTATCTTTGGAGTAAGTAGCTAGTCCACATGAATGGAGCCATTACAAAAGGTGTAATTTTATGTAGCATGAAGAAAGGAGATGCCAGTGTTAGATCTCGATATTAAAATAGCGGGTGAAGATCGAATACATAAAAGATTATCAGAAAGTCTATGAATTTTCTTAACTCGATCTAAGGTCGAGAAACAATAGAATCTGAGGACGCAAAAGGTCATCTAGATTGCCGAGCATGACGTGCATTGGACAACTAAAACCAACCTGCATCTTGTTGTACAATTGATCCATTGTCAACTTTTGTGACCGATTTCTCTTTTCCCCACTCTCAAAGGAAAACTAAACACAGACATGAAAGAAATCCCCATACAGAAGAACAAATCCTACACTACTGGACATGAACAAATCCTACATAACTTAGCACGGAAGCTTAACTCAGATGGGAACGTGGATTCTCAGCAGATCCTGCATAATCTTGAGCAAGGTGAGCTTCCTAATTCTAACTTCTTATTTTTTGTCCCAGCATGACGTACACTGTAGCCTAATTTCCCCCATTTGTGTGTCTAGATGAACTTCCTAATTTTAAACAAGCTTGGAATGGTCTCCTTTGCTTGGCTGGGGAAGAAGCTTCAACTGTAAAATTGTGGCTTTATGTTTTCCCCCGTTTCTTCTGCAAAAGAGTCGTGTGCTTGAACTTTTCATGATCTGCCTGTCCTTGTTCTTGATGTCTGAGACTCTGGATAGTCCCTCATTTGTCTAGTTATTCTGTAATGTGACTGCTTGAACTTGTTACTCCTGTTCTATCTTTTTGTTTCTCAAATGTATACCCACTGTCTTTATATGGTAACTCATTTCTGCTACCAACTCATATTGCTCAGGGGCTGTTGGCAGTGCCCAGAATAATCCACAGGTTGGCTCATGGAGGCTGGGCACGTCCTTCGACAGAACATCCGAAGCCGATGATTGGACGGTTGGTTGTAAGCCACCCGGCAGAGGGAAGGCGAATCGTGCAGATGCCAGAGACAAGCATCACCATTCTTCTGGATGTGGAGGAAGAGGTTATGCTTCTTGATGACACACCAGATGAAGAAAAGACAATTATCTCCATACTGCTGCTTAAACTTGTACTTGCGCTGCATTCTTAAGTATATGTTCCACTATAGTCTATATGAACATAATATCTGATTCCACACATGGATGAGTGTTCAAGGTATGCAGAAACTAGCCATGCAACTGCGAGAACTTGAATCGTGACCGTGACGTCTATATCAAATGCGATAAGAGAAATAGAGCTACTCCATGTGAATGGAGTCATTACGAAAGTCATGTATTTCGATACAGCATGTAAATACCTGGATGGTTGCAGGCAGAATGAGAAAAGAATGTGGATACCAGTGTCCAATCTTGCATAAAAGGTTATAGAAAAATTCCTATGAATTTTCTTGAACTGATTAAAGGTTGAGAAACGGTTGATTCAACCTATGATAACTGATCTGCCGTTTGTCCTGCAGATGATCCATCATCTTCTTTCGTAACCAATTTCTATTGTCCCACTCGCCCAGGATACTAAACACAGACGTGGAAGAAACACTCCATACCAGAAGAATATTTTGCGTTCCTGGACATGGACGAAATGTCATTACTCATCATCTCTAGCAACAGTATTATCATAATGCAGAAAATGCCACAAAAGTAGTTTACAACATTCTCTGTGGCCCTGTAGGGGGGTTTCTAAATAGATGCTAGTGACCAAAATTATTAGTATTTTGTAATGTAGAAGAAGGGAATTTACCACATCCATTGCTGGTATCATGGCCATTATCATAACTAGAAACCATTAGCTGGTTGTCATTTACTTGAGGAGTGTCTCACTAACACATCCTGCCGAGTGCAGATTGAGACATGCAACAGATCAGATAATTACTTTCACCCTTCCGCAAGCTTCCTTCAGTAAAGACTAGAGTTAAAAAGGCCAATTTTTACTTTGACTAGCATTGTCACTATATATTGATCATCAGGGTTCAAGTTTCAATAGCAGAAAACAACCTCAATGTAAACCAACTCGGTCAGTGCAAAAAAAGAAAACAAAAAATGAAAGCCCTTTTCCTCATCTCCCTCACTTTAGCTTCCACATTGTTCTTCCCCACCTTCTCCTTTTCCCATGAAGCATCAGAGGCTTCCAGGATAACCGGCATGGAAACCTACATTGTGTTTGTAGAGAAACCAGAAGGCCTACTAGAATCCAATCTACATGAGTGGTACACCACATTCCTCTCAGAAACTACTTCAAACATAGTTCCAAGCAAACAACGGATCGTCCATTCCTACCGCAATGTGATCACAGGCTTTGCTGCTAAACTCACCCCGCAAGAGGCCAAAGCAATGGAACATAAGGAAGGCTTTATTTCGGCTAGAGTCGAGCGACCTGTATCCTTTCACACAACCTTCACTCCCAAGTTCCTTGGCCTGCAACATAATGGAGGGCCTTGGAAGTCCTCACATTACGGCAAGGGAGTGATCATTGGCCTGATTGACTCAGGGATAAAGCACGATCACCCTTCTTTCTTCGACAAAGGCATGTCTCCCCCGCCAGCCAGGTGGAGAGGCAGGTGTGACTTCAACGGCAAGAAAACATGTAATAACAAGCTCCTTGGTGCTAGAAGCTTCTTAGGGGCCGGGGATACCCCAGTGGAGAAGGCAGTACTCCATGGGAGTCATACTGCAGCAGAAGCTGCAGGGAGCCCTGTAGAAGCTGCCAATGTGTTTGGACAAGCGAATGGAACAGCCATGGGGATCGCGCCAAAAGCCCACTTGGCAATGTACAAGGTCCGTGGGGCTGATAGTAGCGTATTGGCAGCAATTGATGCAGCTATTGAGGATGGCGTTGATGTGCTTTCAATCTCAATGGGTTACTTCAATGGCAGGTTTCCTTTCTTTGATGATCTGTTTGTATTGGGAGCATTTAGAGCCATCCAGAAGGGTATCTTTGTGAGCTGCTCTGCTGGAAATGGTGGACCTTCCCCGAACTCAGTAACCAACGCGGCACCTTGGATTCTAACCGTCGGAGCAAGTACAATCGATAGGGAGATCAGGGCAACGGTGACGTTGGGGAACAATGTGGAGCTCCATGGCCAGTCCCTCTTCCAGCCTACTGACTTCCACTCAAAGCAGCTGCCCCTTGTGGACCTTTCTACCTATAGTGCATCAGCAGCATATTGTGGTAAAGGGTCACTGAAGAATATTGATATTAAGGGCAAGATAGTCATGTGCCAGACCAAATTGAGAGCTCTGAGAACCGATCAGGGGAAAGAAGTGAAGGACAATGGAGGAGCAGGCGTGATCTTTATCAATGGCGTGAAAGATGGAGACACTACTATTCCTGATGCTCATGTCCTCCCTGCATCATACCTCGGTTACAATGATGGATTGGTAGTCAAGGGTTACTTGAACTCCACGCAGTCCCCAACTGCAGCAATCTCATTCCAAGGTACCTTGATTGGCAAGTCGAAAATCGCTCCACAAGTCGCCTCGTTCTCCTCTAGAGGTCCTAGCCTGCAATCTCCGGGGATCCTGAAGCCCGACATCATTGGCCCCGGGGTCAACATTTTGGCTGCTTGGGGAGTCTCAATCGACAATGCTACAACCCCATTCAGCGTGGAATCGGGAACTTCAATGTCTTGCCCACATCTCAGTGGAGTTGCAGCTCTGATCAAGAGTGCTCATCCCCGTTGGTCCCCTGCTGCCATAAGGTCGGCCATTTTGACCACTGCCTACACATTTGATCTCAGTGGCCACCCGATCTCGAACGAGCAGAATGTTTCTGCTACAGTTTTCGACATGGGTTCAGGCCACGTGAACCCATCGAAGGCATTGAACCCCGGGCTGGTCTATGATATCGAGCCAGATGACTACATCCCTTACCTCTGTGGGTTGGGTTATAGCGACAAGCAAGTGAGAATGATCGTGCAGCGAAAGGTGAACTGCTCGAGTCCTGGATCTTCGATACCGGAGGCTCAGCTGAACTACCCAACATTCTCGATCTCGCTGGCTCGGGGTGAAAATCAGACATACACTAGAACGGTGACTAACGTTGGCCAGCCTAACTCGACGTACTACGGCAAGGTTCGGTCACTGGAAGGGGCTGGTGTTGCAGTCACAATCGTGCCTAGTGAGATCAAGTTCAAGGAGGTGAACGAGAAAGCCAGCTACTCTGTAACGTTTACCAGGTTGGATAATGTGGCTAGAAGCAGTGATGTTGGTCAAGGTTCCTTGGTCTGGTCATCTCTTGCTGCTGTTGCTGATGGTGATGATCGGTATGAGGTTGTGAGTACTATTGCCGTTAACTTTGTTTGAAAATGAGTTTATGGGAACCGCTTAAAATACAGAATGCTAATAAGGGAGCAAAAATTTCGTCTTACCTACTGTTGTTGTTGTTGTGGTCGGTTCAATGTAGCAGCTTGTTTGATGTCTACTCCTTAGTATTAAATGAATCGATCATTAGCAGTCGGTTCCATCTTGCGAAGATCTTTGGTGATGATTGTAGAAAGGGATCGCCTGTGACTTTAGGAATAAATCGATCTGGAGATGGGTTAGCAGCACTTAGGTGAATCAATATGAAACCGCGCACCATGGAAGAAGGGAAAAGGTTGGGATAGCTAATGGGTTTAAGGGTTTTGATTGAAACGTAACAAGGAAAATACAAAACAAATGGGCTTTTCACTTTTGTTAAAAGGAACAAGAAGTTCCCAGAAAATTGATGTGTTTGGAAGAACAGAGGAGCCAAACTCATTTCTCCTCTGTTTGATCGACTAAGAGCCAAGGTTTCTACATTGGGCCTGTTAGTACTTTACGCCCATGCTGTATTAGTGTATTGTTTTCCGTTGGGCTTAACTTAATTGCCTGGTCCATTTTTATACAGGCCCGTTCGCTGTTTTTTTATACCATTTTTAGGGTGTTGTTTAGTCCGGTTGGGTGAGTACCAAAATCAAACAAAGTGTGGTCCAAATCCAACAGTGAAAACATTTTAGGATTAAAAACAAGATTAATAGTGTATTTGTCCTGATTGAAATGATTATTTTTCGGGGGAGGAACTAAAGCTTGAAAAAAAAAAAAAAAAAAGCCTTCTCTCTCGCGATCGTGCTCCCTCCTTTCGGAGAACTGATCGTAACCGCCATCGTGCGCTACTGGCCTTCGGGCTTTCCGCCGTCGTGCGGCGACGGGGCCGAGCTCCTCGGGGCGGAATGGCTATAAATCCCTGTGTGTTGGGGGAAGGGAGGCCGTGTTCAGTGTCTCGTTTCATTCTCACGTTTCGGTTTTCCCTAATTCGTCTTGCGTTGAAAATGGCGGTGGTCCAATTCGATGATGAGGATCTGGCAGCGGGGATTGCCCGGGGGGAGATGTCCCTCATCGGCCGCCTGATTGGAGCACCGCCGCCTCTATACGCGCTGCGGATGATGCTGGGGAGGGTTTGGCGGCCCAAGGGAGACCTCACCATCTCCAGTGTGGACGAGGGTTTAACCCAATTTCTCTTTTCCCAGAAGGCAGATTTGCATAAGGCGGTTACCAAGTCCCCATGGGTCTTTGACAATTTCATGCTGGTGTTGAAGAGATGGGCAAATCCCTCTCCCGAGGTAGCTGATAGTCTTCGCTGGGCTCCATTGACGGTACAGATTTGGAAGGTACCATTTGATTGCTTCACAGAGAAAATGGCAGGGCGGTTGGGTTCGTCTCTTGGGGTGCTCGATGAACAGGCCACACTCCATCGATCTGATATCTCGGGTGGACTGTATGTCAGGGCGGTTCCAGTTCTCGATCTCACTGCCCCTCTTCCGGACGAGATTACTGCTGGGCATGTCGATCGGAACCGAGGTAATTTCGTGGCCTCTGTTAAGTTCGAAAAGGTTCCTCACTTTTGCTTCCTTTGTGGTGTGATTGGTCACATAGGGGAGACTTGCCCTCGGAAGGAGGAGTTTGCTGGTGTTACCCCGAAGTATGGGGTGTTTTCGGTGGCAACTGAATCGGGCCCTCCGGTCACGGAGGATACTTTGGCCAAGCGGCATCGGCGGTTCACCTGGATCCGGGCAGCCAAGAATCGCACTGCAAATGTAATGAATGGCGGCAGGTTCAAGGAACCTTCTCCCCGCCAGCCGCGTCTCCAATTGCTGCCGTCTCAGACAGGAGGTTCGGGTGGTGAATGGAGGGACACCCGGCGCCCCTCACCGAGCTTCAGGGGAGCAAACCTCCATTCGATGTCCATTGTACCGTTCGCTGCAGAGCCTAGCGACACAGCAACCAATCTTGGTGATGAGGATGTACTCATGAAGGAAGGGGCTGCTCCTTCTGCGGGATCCCCTGCTGCCAAGCGTGCACGACCGGATCGAGAAGTTCTAGCCTCGGTCCCCCCTCTTGATGGTAAGGCGGTGGCATCCAGCCTCAACTGGGCCCACCCAGATCCATGAGCTTTATGGTGTGGAATTGTCGGGGGATGGGCTCCCCCTTGACAGTTCCCTCTCTCGGTGGAGCCGTGGCACGTTTCGCACCTCATCTTGTCTTCCTCAGTGAAACCAAAAGGGAAGATGATTTTGTAAAGTCCAAGTTTGCTAGTATGGGTTACAAATCAGTTCGTTGCTTTAGTGCGTCTAATGGTAGTGGCGGTTTAGCTGTAGGGTGGGTTGATCATGTTTCGTGTATAGTGCATCAACTTTCCTCTTTTCATTGCTTTGTGGAGTGTGGAGTTCCTGATGTTGGGACCCTTGGTATCATCTTTGTACATATGTCGTGTGTGGCCGCGGAGCGCCAGGCTCAGTTTAATGAAATCGCGGATTTGGTCTCGTCTTGTCCCTTTCCCGCATTTGTAGTAGGAGATTTTAACTGTCTTCTTTCTGATTCTGAGAAGTTAGGGGGGAATGTTCCTTCGTTTGCAGCTCTGGACCAACTTAATGCTTTTATACTGTCTACTGGTCTCTTTGACTTAGGTTTTCAGGGGTCGCCTTTCACTTGGTCGAATCGGCGAGCAGGTGGGGAACATATTCTAGAGCGCTTGGATAGATGTCTGGGGAGTGCCTCAGCGATGGCCGAATGGGTGGACCTGAAGGTAATTCATCTTACCGATTTAGGCTCTGACCATCGGATGCTTCTTGTGCAGTTAACCAATCAGGGACACCATCGGCATACTAGATTCCACTTTGATGGGAGGTGGAATTCGAATGAGGAGGCAATGGAGGTAATCCAAAGAGCCTGGTCCAAACCGATGCGGGGGACAGCCCAATTCCGTGCTTTTAACCAGCTTAAAACAGCCCGCCATGACCTGGTGGAATGGGCAAGATTGGGTACGTCCAATTCGGCTCGGCGCATTAGGGAGCTCCGGTCGGCCATCGAGGAACTTCGCGAATCAGCCCAGGTGGATTGGGACGCGATTCGCCCTCTTGAACGTGACCTGTCGGCAGCATATGTTGAAGAGGAAGGCTTCTGGCGTCAAAAATCCAGAGTTGGCTGGCTCCGGGAAGGGGATGCCAACACCAACCTTTTCCACCGTACGGTACTACAACGACGAAGGTTTAATCGGCTGCGGGGATTAAGGGATGAGGCTGGGATTCTACACAATGATGAAGAAGCCATGGCAGGTGTAGCTATCCCCTACTATCAATCCATTTTTTCTACTAACAATGTGGATGCCTCCTTGTATGTGGATTCTTTGGGTCTGTCCTGCAGGGTTACTAGTGAGATGAATGAAGCATTGATAGCTCCTGTTTCGCCTCTCGAAGTCAAGGAAGCGGTGTTCCGGATTGGCAGCCACCAGGCTCCCGGTTCCGACGGGTTCACAGCTGCATTTTTTCAAGTTCATTGGGAGGTGGTGGGTTCACTGATCACGGATGCAGTTCTAAGTTTCTTTAGGACTGGTCGGCTTCTGCATAACTTCAACCATACGCTGATTTCCTTGCTACCGAAGGTACCGAATGCCGAGACAATGCGACAAATTCGACCGATCGGGTTGTGTCAGGTATTCTACAAAATTATTGCTAAGCTTATGGCTGCTAGGCTTAGTGTGATTTTACCTGACGTGGTGAGCCCTACTCAGAATGGTTTTGTGCGTGGTAGACTGATTACTGACAATATCCTGATAGGCCAGGAAGTTATGCAATTTCTGAAAACTAAAGTGCAGGGCCGGGATAAGTGGATGGCGCTTAAACTAGACATGGAAAAAGCTTATGACCGGGTTGAATGGTCATTTTTGTTGCTGATTTTGGAACGGTTGGGGTTCTGTAATGAGTGGCGGCGCTGGGTCACAGCCTGCATCTCAACGGTTTCCTTTTCTGTTCTAATTAATGGTCACTCACACGGGTATTTCAAGCCCCATCGGGGATTGCGCCAAGGTGATCCTCTCTCGCCCCTCCTTTATGCTATTTATTCAGAAGCCTTTTCGGCAAAATTGTCTAGTGAGATTATTGCGGTGAATTTGCATGGTTTGCGTGTGCATCGAAATGCTCCTTTGACATCACATTTATTGTTTGCCGATGATACTTACTTGTTTTTGAGAGCTTCTTTACCAGAATGTGCGAGTTTGTTAGCCCTGTTTGATGAGCTAGAGAGGGTTAGTGGTCAAAAAGTTAACCTGTCTAAGTCGTCGATGTGTGTGAGCTCTAATGTGTCTGACCAGGAGCGTGCGGCGTTGGGTTCCTTCCTGGGGGTGGCGGACTCGAGCTTAGCCGACAAATATCTAGGATTGCCCATCCATGTCCAAAGATCGAAGACTCAGACATTCCGGTTTGTTGAGGAAGGATTGGCTGCTAGGATCAGGTCGTGGAAGACTAAAGCTATGTCCTTGGCTGCGAAGGAAACGGTGATTAAGTCTATTGGGTCGGCGTCCGCGATATATACTATGTCTGCTTTTCGATTGCCTTCTTTCACTTGTCGCAGGTTGAATGGCCAGTTGTCTCGGTTTTGGTGGGCTGATCGGGATAAAGAGGATGGCATTCACTGGCTTTCGTGGCAGGAGGTGTGTCTCAGCAAGTTTGCAGGCGGCCTAGGCTTCCGGGATTTTGAACGGTTCAACATTGCTCTCTTGGCCAAACAGGCTTGGCGGGTACTTCTGAGTCCGGATTCAACACTAGCATCGCTGTACAGAGCAAGATACCATCCACATACTTCATTCTTGGAGGCGACGCCGGGGCCGAGGCCATCCTGGGCTTGGCAAGGAATATTAGCCGGGAGGGACCTTCTAGTCCGGGGTCTCCGCTGGCGGATTGGAAATGGGGCTACTGTTCAGGTTTTAGCAGATAAGTGGATCCCCTCGAACCCTCCCTCCATTCCCTTGCTGCTACCGCATATTACTTCTTGTCCTGTGTTTGTCTCGGAACTCATTTGCCCATTTTCCCGGACATGGAACGTGGACCTTCTGACAAGCCTGTTCATGCCCGAGTCGGTGGCATTAATTCTATCTATCCCGCTTCCCATGCAGGTCTCTCAAGATAAGCTCATATGGCATTACTCCCCAACCGGGGAGTATACGGTCAAAACCGGGTACCACGTTCTTACTGATGAGATGCTTGCTGCCCATCCTCCTACTCCGTTGCCTTATGATTGCAGGTTCTGGAAGTTACTATGGAGTTTGCCACTTCCACCTAAATTGAAGTTCTTCTGGTGGAGAGTGGTCCGCGGCTTCCTTCCCGTGCGCGCGGTGTTACAAGTTAAGAGGCTGGTCGCTGATAGTGAATGTCCGATCTGCTCCCATGGCGCGGAAACTATTGCCCATTCCTTCCTTCATTGCAGGGTCGCTGTAGAACTTTGGGCACTTGCCGGACTGGGTGATTTACGCAGAAGGCTGGAAGGTTTGGCACCGTCGGACTGCTGGAATGCTTTATTTTTCTCCTGCCATCTTTCAAAGTCTGAGATTGCTGATGTAGTTTTTATTTGTTGGCGAGTGTGGAAATCTCGCTGCTGGGCACTTCATAAGAACGTCCAATACATGGGGAGCGCTCTGTTTCGTCAATTCCGTGCGCAGGTTGAAGAGTGGCAGCATGCCACTGCGCCTTTGACACTTCATAGAGCTGGCGGTGGGGCGTCTCGGTCGCGGATGGGAGCTGGCCAGGCAGCACAGGCTCAGATACCTGCCGGGGTATGCCCAACAGATGGTGTCCTGGTCCGGTTCGATGGAGCTTGGAAGCAGGATGCAGGGGGCAGCATCGGATTTGTCGGGTTCGCCAACACTGGTCAGGATAAGGATGAAGGATGTGAACCATGGAACGGGAGGTGCGATCTTGGAGGAGATTTGCTCGGTGGCAGCGATGTTCAGTTTTTTTGATTGTAATTTTACTCCTCGGTTGTACAACAGGGCTGCCCATTTAGTGGCTTCTAATGCCCTTTCATCGACAGTTCGACTACTTGTCGACTGTCGCGTTTGGTTGTCAAGTGTCTTGTAATATCTAAAACGATCCATATCTATGCCAAAAAAAAAAATTCGGTAAAAAAAAAAATTCAATAATTATAAAATTCATGGGATCAAAAACTGAATCACATTATATTTGAATCGGTGTGATCCAATCTAATCATCGTTTTAATCCGATACAGTCTAATACGAACAAACTCATTGCACACCCTTTAGGTAGCGTACTAGCGTGTTTAAAGGTAGGCAAAAAAACTAAAGTGATTGAGTAAAAATTTAAAAAGTGGAGGCATGTTTTTTATATTTGAAAAACACACAAAATATGGGACCCAAATGTAAAGTGGGTGGAATGGAAGGACTACCTCACTAATCCGCGGTGATACGTATAGGAGATTATTTATCTAACAATTCATATATCAACTACTAAACGTCTTTAGACACTAAAATTATCATGATTTTGATACCCATAGACCGCATGAATTAGAAGAAGTATCAACTTAGTCATTTCATCCAATGTCCCTCTCTTTACGCGAATCGGGTATTACCGGCAACATTAATTCTTTTTTCTTTTCCACAGGTTCGTAAAGTAAAATAACATGATGTAATATGACGGATATTTCTATACCTATACTCAACCCGTCCTTTGTTATCAAATCAGAATGAATAATATTCATTCCTCATATTTCCAAATTATGACCTCAGTAGTTGATCCATCACCATCTATTGTGAGCATGATAACACTAATCCCACTTAATAATTCATTCCTCATATACCCTACATACTCTGAAATACAAGTCTATCCAAAGCATTTTCAGCCTTCAATATGACAAGAACATAAGTAGTTATGGAAGCATATTAGTACTAAGTTGAATAACGATAAAACTTCAGCCCCAAATCCAATCCCCAATACCCAACCCCTCTCAAAGCAGACACTAAACCAGTGAATAATGTATAACTTCCTAACGTAGAAGAAATCAATTTGCCATATCTACTCCTTACTGATTCCTTAACTATTAACATCAATAGAAATTACAGAGACAATGCCAGCCACCTGCCGGTTTGTCTTTTACTCAAGGAATGTATCACTAATTCATCTTGCAGAAAGAGACATGCAACTGACTGAAACAGATAGTTTTTACCTTAGTCTCAAAACCCTCATCAGTAAAGAGTTAAAAAGGCCAAATAGTTTACTATATATATTGATAATCTATGTTCAGTCACATAGCAGCAAGCAACCTCGAAATAAACCAGCTTGGTGATTACTAGGGAAAAGAAATGGGGACAATGAAAACCCTTTTCCTCCTCACTTTAACTTCCACACTCTTCTTCTCCACCTTCTCCCAGGAAGCATCAGTTTCTTCCAGGCAAACCAACTTGGAAACCTACATTGTGTTTGTAGAGAAACCAGAAAACCTGCTAGAACCCAATCTACATGACTGGTACACCACATTCCTCCCGGAAACTACTTCGAGTCTAAGCTCGAACCAACCACGAATCGTCCACTCCTACCGCAACGTGATCACAGGCTTCGCAGCTAGGCTCACACCACAGGAAGCCAAAGCAATGGAACAGAAGGAAGGCTTCATCTCAGCCCGCGTCCAGCGCTCTTTCTCACTACACACAACCCTCACTCCCAAGTTTCTCGGGCTGCCACGGAGGCCAACGAAGCTAGGAGCTTGGAACGCCTCGAATTACGGAGAGGGAGTGATCATTGGTATGATTGACTCGGGGATAAAGTACGATCACGCTTCTTTCTCCGACAAAGACATGCCTCCCCCGCCTGCCAAATGGAGAGGCAGGTGTGCCTTCAACGGCAAGCAAACATGTAACAACAAGCTCCTCGGTGCTCGAAGCTTCGTCTCTACTGCTGATCGAGGCACTGATCTACCGTGGGAAGAAATCTACCATGGGAGTCATACTTCAGGGATAGCTGCAGGGTGCCCTGTAGATGGTGCCAACGTGTTTGGACAAGCGAATGGGACAGCCACGGGGATCGCGCCTAGAGCACATTTGGCAATGTACAAGGCCTGTGGAGATTTCTGCGACGAAGGTGATGCATTGGCAGCAATCGATGCTGCTATTGATGATGGCGTTGATGTGCTCTCAATCTCGCTTGGACCTCCACGTCCTTTCCCATTCTACAACGATGGGGTCGCGCTGGGTACATTTAGAGCCATTCAAAAGGGCATCTTTGTGAGCTGCTCAGCTGGAAATGCAGGACCTTGGGCGTCTACTGTGATCAACGATGCGCCATGGATGCTGACCGTTGGAGCGAGCACGATCGACAGGGAGGTCAGAGCTACAGTGAAGCTGGGGAACAATGTGGAGCTCCATGGGCAGTCCCTCTTCCTGCCTAAGGATTTCCATTCACAGCAGCCACTCCCAATCGTCGATCCTGCTGCAACTGGCAAGAACGAATCAGCAGCCTTTTGTGCGAAAGGGTCACTGAAGAACATTGATGTTGAAGGCAAGATAGTCATATGCCAAATTGGAAGTGAGGGAACCGAGGACATGGGGCAAGAAGTGAAGAACAATGGCGGCGCAGCCATGATCGTGCTCAATTACCAGCCTGGTGGATACACCACTTTTGCTTATGCACATGTTCTCCCCGCATCATACCTCAGTTACAGGGATGGATTGGTGCTCAAGGATTACTTGTCCTCCACGCAATCCCCCACTGCAACAATCTCATTCCAAGGTACCTTGATTGGCAAGTCATCACAAACTGCTCCGCGAATCGCCTCGTTCTCTGCTCGAGGTCCTAGCCTGCAATCTCCTGGGATCCTGAAGCCCGACATCATTGGCCCCGGGGTCGACATTCTGTCTGCTTGGGGGGTCTCAATTGACAATGCTACCAAACCGTTCAAAATCGAATCAGGAACTTCAATGTCGTGTCCACATCTGAGCGGGGTCGCAGCTCTGATCAAGAGTGCTCACCCTGATTGGTCCCCTGCAGCGATAAAATCGGCAATTATGACGACTGCCTACACCTTCGACCTCAACAACAACCCGATCTCCACCGAGAAGAACGTTTCTGCCACGGTCTTCGACATGGGTTCGGGTCACGTGGACGCATCGAGGGCATTGCACCCCGGGCTGGTTTACGATATCGAGCCAGACGACTACATTCCTTACCTCTGCGGGTTGGGTTACAGCGAGCAGCAGGTGAGGTTTATCGTGCAGCGAAAAGTGAATTGCTCGAGGGGAATTACTTCGAAACCGGAGGCTGAGCTGAACTACCCGACATTTTTTGTGACGTTGTACACTGGTGATCAAATGACTTACACTCGAACGGTTACTAATGTGGGTCGACCTTTCTCGACCTACTTCAGTAAGGTTTCATCACCTGAAGGGGTTGCTGTCGAAGTCGTGCCTAGTGTGATGAGGTTCAAGGAGGTGAAAGAGAAGGCGAGCTATACCGTGACATTTACCAGGTTGGATGACAATGTGACAAGAAGCAGTAACGTTGGTCAAGGTTCCTTGGTCTGGTACTCTATTGGTGATGATGGGTACAAGGTTTTGAGTACTATTGTTGTCGTCTTTGTTTGATACAAGAGTTTATGGAGTGAGCTGCTTAAACTAAGGATGTCAATAAGAGAGTGAATTTCATATTATCTCATATGTTGTTGTTGTTGTTGAAATCGGTTTTAATGTATGCTACATCTGTACTGTATCCCCTTAATCTGAATGAATCAGTAGTCGATTTGCGATTGATTAATATTGCTACGATCTTTGCTAGAATTGGATTATCTGCTCTTCCTTAAATCATTGATCTATCTGCTCTTTCTTTATCTCCTTCCTGTCTCCTATAGGCTTTATATTTCACCATGAGCAGGAGCGGCAAAGGGATAGATAGAAGTGCTATATATGCATCATGCAGTTGCCTAATGAAGGCTCAAACTATTAGAGAGCATATTTGAAGATCTCATGTACGATTCGAATTACCTGTCCCATCCCAGACAATTGTAATTGTCTAAAAACGAGTCAGTTCGAAATTCTCCAGGTCAAATTGTTTCATTCAAATTTTATACTACCAAACAAATCAACCAGACACTACAAGCAAATGGGCCTAGCACAGGGGTTTTTTTTCCTGCGGTTCGTCTAACCGCTTCCGGGCTTTTGTTATGGGTACTTTTGGCAGCCAATCGATCAGCGGTTATTAGACCCGCTGAGAATTCTAACCTTTTAATCGGGGTTTTGATTTTTTCGTTAAAAAATAACACAATTTTGTACGAGGGGAAAAAAAAAACAAATTATTGCCGGGTGGAAACTTGTATCGCGAGGTTCTCTGTTCTTCAATGGAACGATTTCCTTTTGCCAAACCCTAAAATCACCACAGGCGAGACCCCCAACTCCCGCAAAATCCATGGTGTTTGCCTCTCTCTCCGATCTTTGCGATTTCAAACTAAGACCTCTGCTAGCTCACTGCTTGACCACCGCCCCTGTCTACCCTGTTACTCAGACGAACCACGATCTCCGGCCAGTCCTCCTTCTCCGACTTGAAGCTTACTTCATGGATTCCTGGTTCGGCTACTATTTTCCATCTCCCTTGTTCCGCATCTATTTGTTCTGTTCCACCTATAAGAACTCGGTATTTGATTTCTTTGGTTCTCTCTTCGTTTGATTTAGGTTTTTGGTGAACTCTCTCTCCGTCGATATTATGCAGCAGTTGGCAAGCTTTGAAACTTCAATTTTGATGAGAACAGGGATGAATTTCGTGCTTGCTGTATGTGCGCTGAGAAGAACCGGAACGTGGAGCACTCGACCAAAGTCACTGCTTGTAAGAAATGTTTAGGCTTCTTTCTTTGAGATCTTTGGATTATCAAATTTGTATCAATTAGAACTACATAGGTATGATTAAAATTGGGCACAAGTCTCTTGGTTGGATTAGGAAGACCTGGAAAGTATTCCCTTACTGAACTACAACTGATTTGTGTCTCTTGCGTATGTTTGTAGCTTGGATAGATTTTTCATGTAAACTAATGTCAGAAGCTTTCTGGATCTGTAAAACCTATGTTCATCATTTAGAGCACTGGTGGTCAAAACTTGGTTGAATCAAAGTTCACCAATGAAGGGGGATATGTGCTGAGATATAAATCAGTATGATTTGTTACTGTGCCTGCTCCATGCAGCTCTCCCCAACTCTAACATCACTTGTCAATCCCACCCATACCTTTCAACAGCTACATTCCAGGTATGAAATAATTAATTATTCTTCATTTAGAGAATTTGCTATATGTGTGTGGCATATGGAAAAGAAGGATAGACATATGGACAAGGAAGTGGTTAGTTTACTCACAGAAATGAGATTAAAAGTGAAAGAAGGAACAAGTAGGACATTATCCAAGGTAAGGGTAGAAGAAAAAATGACAGTTCCCATGTGTGTGGCTGGAACTTGGATTCCATTTGGTAGAGTGACAAAGATATTTGAAATGGGTTTGTGTGTTTGGAATAGATTTATGTTGCAGATCATATGATCTGTAGCACCTGTGTCTAGGATCCATATAGTGACATAAGGATGATTCTGATTATGTGAAATAGCTGTTGTGTCAGATGATGACGATGACATGAATGCTGCAGCAGTTTTGAGATTCAATAGGCTTTTCCTTATATTGTCTGAGACTGCTGACCTCAACCATCCAAGCACTGTGGTGTTGCAGCTGATCCACGGCTGGTACAAGGGATCTGAAGCAGGGGTCATCGGCAAGCTACCATCAATGAAGGGTATCTTGTTTTTTTGAGACAAGAGAGTTTAGCATGAAGTTACTCCACTCATTGTAATTCCCTCCGGTGAGTTTCTCGGGTACTAGTAGTAGGGCAGGGTTCTCTCCTCCATGTTGGAAATAAGGGTCTGAAAAGAAGTATTCTTTGGCTGGTGGATTGGAAGTCGATGTGGAACTACTGTTTGGTGTTCCTGTGATGAGCGAAGTATCATGACAAGAAGACATGACTTCTTAACAACACAACAAGAAGAAAAACTATAAAAGGTATAGCTATGATACCATGATAGCAGAATAGGGTTTTGGAAACATGAAAGCTTGCTTATTTTCATTCATCATAGAGTTCCTTTATATACAGCAGAAGAGCATGGAGTTGCTTCTAAACCCATGTTGCTCTCATGTGGTTTTGACAGCAATTGTCTCCAATAACCAAGCTTTCTTCTTCTTCTTTCGGTGGCAAGAAGCTGCCGGATTCCACAGCAGCAGCCATAGAAGAAAAATGGCTTTCTTCCTCTGTTAGGCCTGGTGGTACAGAACATGACCTGAAAAGGGGTATGTATGCATCTATCATTGATGACTTCCCTCCTAATGCTCAAATGAAATCGATAGTTTCTGTTTTTTTATGTTACATATGATATCAGATGGGATTATGTTCAAGAATGAAGATGGTGAAACCATTTCTGAGGACATGGATAGAATGCGTGCTTTTAAGAGAGCTTTAACAATGTAGACCAAATGGGTAGATGCAACATGAATGCAGGAAAAACAATCGTCTTCTTCCAAGGAGCTTTTCCTTCTCATTACAAGTAAGAAGCATTCCCTAGGCTATATATGATCTGATTCCACTCCTATCCTGTCATCAACAATTTTGTGTATGCTTATCGGTGGACATCAATGGCACAGAGTAGGGGAAACCAGGATTAAGAGACTGCTATGATGATATAGATCCAGTACTGCTATCCGCTTTAAATCTTGTCGTTGATGATTAGAACCAACTTCTCTACACAACTATTCTAGATCAAGGTTTGGCACATGCATGATTCTTTTAGATCAGAGTTTAAGGCCGTACTATGAACGAGGTTAATTACCCAGGGGAGGTTCACTGACGTCTAGATCAATACTTTCGAAACTTTCAGCCTCTGGTATAATCTTCTTACTGCTTCCCTTGGACAAATTAATGAAACTAAGTAATATTTCTTTCCCATTTTCTCTTTCGAATCTATTGCATGGTGGTGCTTGTAGATCTTGTTCGAGTGACCATACGGTGGTTGAGTGAAAGCAAGGAGCAGGGATACAAGAAGCCCGAGTGATTAATTTATGTGATCCATTGATTATTTCCTTCCTTCCTCTGCATCTTTTCATGCTTCTCTTTCATGGTTATGATACTGTCCTGCTTTCCATGGTGCAGGAACCTTTGAGATCAATGAGGAATCGGTCAATTTCAGTTTGCTAAACTAGCACTATCATGCTTTATCTTAACTTTGGGTTTTGGGCTCTGCATATGGCTGATGTGGATATGTAGCTTTGTAGCTATAGGTGTAGGTGGTCTGAATGGGCTGCAATCTAAGATCTCTACAGACCTGTGGCATCATCAAGCAGATGAATCACAAAGCGATTTGTAGGTGTTTACATGATGTTAATTTTGGTTCTTATTGATGGTAGATTGGTTTGGTTTGATTTAGGAATTCTATTGGTGTAGGTGGTATTATTGAGTCACCATACCACAACAAACAGGGGAATGCATGACAAGCACCAACAAAACTGAATACCAGAGAAAACAAACAATATCCAACAAGGGGGAAAACCAGCAGTAGTAAGATGAATTTTATATATGTGCATGTTTTAGCTGAATCATTTGAATTTTCATCATTACATTACTTGCAGGTTTGTTCTGATTGAATTATGAAGCTATCCTTTATGTTCTTCAAGAGCTGAAACATGTGCTCTTTGATTCATATATGATTCCATTTTGTTGTCTTGAATTCAGCTAGTAGCAGTGATGAGAATTTTATTTGTTTTGTTGGCTACGTAACAGGTTAAGATGGAATGCAATAAATGATGTGGCGATTCAGAAGACAGCAAAGTTTTGATGGCAAATTGTTGGTTTTTTTTGAACCACGTACTAATTTGTTAATTTCCTTCCTAGTGATGTGTTTATGTCGACTGCTAAAATTATGTGGTATATTGATAATGGTTGATGTCACGTTTGGAGGGTTATATGCACTGAAAAAGAGCATACTAAAATTTTCTTCAAAATTCTGAAATCCACCTTGGAAGGCTCTAGCAAAGCTTGGTGAGAACCGGCATCAAATTTCTTATCCAGCAATTTAGATAAAACGTTGGAGTATTCAATAGCAGGGGTTTTGGAACCGTTGCTAAACTGCTGCCAACTTTTATTTTGACTGTCGACAACTATACCAACTACAGCCATTAGAACCGCCGCAAGAACCGCCGTAAGGACATCCACCAGCGGTTGATTTAACCGCTGCCGTAAATTTGAGGCGGTCGGTTTTGCATGGGTTTCACAGCGGTCAGTAAACCCCTGCCGGGAAAGTTACCAGCGGTTTTTATGGCCGCTAAAACTATAAAACCCCGCTGCTGTTGGCAGTTTATTTTGTAGTGAGACCCAATTGTCTGAAAACGAGACATATGTGATCCACTAGAATTTTTCATACAAACGACCCTTCAGGAAACCAACCTCGTTAAACCAATTTGGCGATTGTAATTCGTCATTTTTAATATACTACTAGTTCTTTGACCCGTGCTTCGCTGCGGTACAAAAAAAATATTATATTTAAAATTTCATCTAATTTTTCAATGATTCGGTTGAAATAGAGTAATTTACAAAATAGTTCGGATAAGATACCCTCCTAAGTTTTACATAGGGTCTTATGCAAAACTTATGTGATACGTTTGTTTAACTGATACGCAAAGAATAACTATCCGTTTATAAGTTTTACGTAATATATTTGTAATTTAGTTACCACATATTTTTTGCATAGTGTCTGCATCATAAAAGAAGAACGCTAACTAATATATAAAAAATGAATTATCTTCATAAGTTTTACGTAATATATTTGTAATTAAGTTAATGCATTTGTAAATATTCCGTGATCTGAAATAAAATTTTTAACAAACAAAAAGTTCCTAGATAGCAATTATAGGGAATAAGGTTAGCTCTAAAATTGGGCGTAGGAAATGAGAACAAAAAAATTACAAAAGACAACTAACTATTGAAAGAAATATACTTATAAGAAAATTGGTATAAGGATTAAAAAAAAAGTCTCTTATAAGTAGTACTTATTAGACCACAGAGTCCAAGTAAAACCAATGCTCATCCTTATTGTAAAACCATAAATTTCACTATAACTTCAAAATTAGTGCGACCTTATAGCAAGTATGGAAGGAAGAGTCATAAATTTCTGTTGAAGTAGTAGATATAAGAACTAATTAATGATTAATTATGAGGGTCAACTAAATCCGTAGAAACGGAAGAGAAGGAGATAGAAAGAAGAGTTGGCTTCTGTTTGACCCGGATTAGTACCGGGGATTAGTGTGGAACCTTGTTTCGGACTCCCTCGTCTGATCTCCTCGGGAGTGGAAGAAACCTGTGGAGAGTCGGGGGCGGCCCCCGTGATCTACACTCCGACGATCAAGTTAGAATAGATATATGATAGAGTGTAGAGAGAAATGTAGAGAGAGATAGGGTTTAGAGAGAGAACCATAAGTGGTAAAGTGAGGGAAGGGAGAGAAGTCCCTTTGCTTGGAGGGTCTGGCATCCTTATATAGGAGTCGGAGGCATCCTGTGGACGCCTCCCGCTGTCATGGACGCCCCCGGTAGACTGGTCGCCTCCTGTCGATGGACGCCTTCCGGTGAATGGACGCCTCCCGGTGGTGGACGCCTCCGGGTAGGTTGGACGCCTCCCGATGATGGACGCCCCCCGGATAGACTGGTCGCCTCCCGGTGGACTGGACCCTAGAATGGGCTTGGGCCCAAGGTGAGACGCTTTGTGGTGGGCTTGGGCCCGTATTAGGCGGGTTAATACTAGACCCAACATTTGCCCCTTTGCTTCTTGTATTCTGTAAGAATGGAAGGAGTAACATAATGCGTTAAGGTGTATTAACTTGCCTTACTTGCGAGTCCGCACGATGCGGTTTTGCCCCTTGTGCGGCTTTGCCCCTTGTGCGGCCATTGCTTGGTGATGGACGCCTCTCGATGGTTGAGACGCCTCTCGGTGATGGACGCCTCCGGTGATGGGCGCCCACGAGTGGACTGGACCCTTGCGGGTCCAAACGATGTGGTTTGCCCCTTGTGCGACCATTGTCTTTGCTTCTTAGCTTAGCATTCGATGTCTTGAGTTAGAGCTCTCAAGTCGTTTGAGATTTCCCCACTAGACCATTGCTGAGCGTGCTAATATGTAGGCCGTAACTGTGAGCTGTATGCGTTAAGCTGTTGGACCGCGAGATGGGCATGAGCTTGTGTGCATGTTAAGCGTGAGTTGTTGGCTGAATATTAGGCGTTAGCTATGTGCTAGGGAGGGCGGCCCCCACGACTTGAGAGTTTTAACTCAAGGCGGCGTTTTTGTTTTGAAGATGCCACACCTGCTGGGAGGCGGGATCGTGTTTCTAGCTATACCGATGTCACGCCTACTGGGAAGCGGAATCGGGCTTCTACGTAGAGGGGAAGCATCGCTGAGGAAGCGGGATGCGGTTTTATATCTGCGAAAGATGTGAGTGACTAGTTCCCAATATACTTAGGGTTTAAATATGAGTATAGGATGTAGTGAGAAATATCATAGTTGATATTAGTGGCGGTCTTCATGGCATAGTATTTGAATATATCTTAGAATGAAGTACTTAGCTTGAGAATAAGTTGTAGAAGACAGCAGGGAAGCGGTCTAAATAATAGGAGTCGCACTTTGATTCACAAATAAGTGTTGTAGTGCAGTGGTGCGGCCTTTGACGTGGTGAGGGTGGGCGCGCGGGTTCGAATCTTGAAAGACACATTCTACTCATCTTTTTTGGTGAGCGGCTTCCTTTGGACTTGATGTGCGGGCCCAATTAAAGGGGACGCGGGTCTTGGTCGGCGGGTTGGTGAGCGGCTTCCTTTGGACTTGATGTGCGGGCCCAATTAAAGGGGACGCGGGTCTTGGTCGGCGGTCCCCAACGAGAGGCGGATTTGGGCTTCGGAGGCTCAGTTGGGCATGGGCCCCTTGATGAAGTTGGAGGCGGTCTTCGGAAGCAGAAGAAGACGCGGGTCTGCGTTTGCGCTGAGACGGGCTGGATGCTGTCGGAGCGGTCGATGTTTGGGCTTTGACACAAAGCGGGCTCCATCTTGGGCTTTGAGGTGCGTATGCGGGCCGGACGAGTTGTGAGTTGGAGGCAGGCCCAAAGTGAGGTGTGCGGTTTCACGATTGGCGGCCGAATGCGGTTGGGCTGAGAATTCGTCGGGCTTTGTTGCGAACTTTGATAAATATAGAGCGATGCAAAAATATGCAAGATGTGTTCTTCTAGCAAACTGGTGAGCACTCGTGTTTGATGGAAGCAGGATGCGGGTTCGAATCACGGTGGAAGTAGTTACTTTCATTTTTGTAGTTGAACTACACTTGGGATAGTGGTCTTGCGAGGCGGCCCATTCTGCGGATTGTGAGGTGGGCCGCGTTGTGATTGAAGACATGGTCTGATTGAAGCCGCATTTGACGAAGTGGACGGGAAGCGGTTCCATGCAGCTGCAGATGAAAGCGGGGGTTGTGCGGCTGATGGGAAGCGGTCGGTTGTTGGCGGTCTGCAAGGTAGGACGGTCTTCGTTGGGGAAGTGAGCGGGCCAGCTGTAATCCACTTGCCAAGTTCTCAAAAACTTTGCCATTGGGAAGCGAGAAAGTGTGATTGAGACAGCCTGCCCCTTGGGAAGCGAGAAAGTTTGATTGAGACATCAAGCTTTTTCTCGATTTCGCTAATCCACTCACTGTGGAAGAGCAGTCTCCTTTTTCAGAAGCACGTTGGGAGAGACGAGGATGAGTTGCGGCCGGACTTCTTATTTCCTCGTCGGAGGTCCGGCGCTGAACATGTTCCCGGCGATTGGAATCTGGAAAGTTGATGGGCGATATGAAACTTTTTTGTTTTTTCTTCTTTTTCTTTTTGCTCTGGTGGCTTCGGCGGGATTTTGCGGTCGGAGCCGTCGAGGGTAATTAGTGGAGAAAGGATCGATTTCCTCTCCTCCTTCAGATACCAAACAAGAAGAGTACCAAATCATGCCCCACGGTGGGCGCCAAAATGTTTGACCCGGATTAGTACCGGGGATTAGTGTGGAACCTTGTTTCGGACTCCCTCGTCTGATCTCCTCGGGAGTGGAAGAAACCTGTGGAGAGTCGGGGGCGGCCCCCGTGATCTACACTCCGACGATCAAGTTAGAATAGATATATGATAGAGTGTAGAGAGAAATGTAGAGAGAGATAGGGTTTAGAGAGAGAACCATAAGTGGTAAAGTGAGGGAAGGGAGAGAAGTCCCTTTGCTTGGAGGGTCTGGCATCCTTATATAGGAGTCGGAGGCATCCTGTGGACGCCTCCCGCTGTCATGGACGCCCCCGGTAGACTGGTCGCCTCCTGTCGATGGACGCCTTCCGGTGAATGGACGCCTCCCGGTGGTGGACGCCTCCGGGTAGGTTGGACGCCTCCCGATGATGGACGCCCCCCGGATAGACTGGTCGCCTCCCGGTGGACTGGACCCTAGAATGGGCTTGGGCCCAAGGTGAGACGCTTTGTGGTGGGCTTGGGCCCGTATTAGGCGGGTTAATACTAGACCCAACAGCTTCCATGCACAAAGAGTATAATTTTGTTGTTATACATGTGTAGGCTGCAATCCATGCAACGAATGCACATGAGCCGCTTGTCTTCCTTTGTTCATTTCTCTGCCATCTAACTATTTGTCGCTCTCTCTTACTCATCCATAAATCCCCTCTTAGATAGCCAAAGGGAGACTGGAGTGGAGGTGATGATCCTCCCCCACTTGAGAGATCTCATTGATTTTTGATTTTGATAGAGAGGTTTTTTTTTATCGAGCCTTCGATACGGTACAATTTTACTGACACTTTTTTTCTTCTTCTTCAAATTTTGATTTTTCCCCCCTTATTCCCTTCCCTTATATTCTACATAATGCTTATTTTGATTCCTTCTTTTTTTGCTTGTTATCAGTTATCACCTTTGCTGATTTTGTTTC